CAGTGTGTGTGTGTGTGTGTGTGTGTGTGTGTGTGTGTGTGTGTTTAACAATAACAATTGTGGAAATACGATAAAAATAGTATCCTCTAGGCTGCTTTTGGGATGGAATGCAAATGCAAAAAGAACAGAGAAACTGTCCAACTCTAATCCACTAGCTCCCTCTGGCTTAGCCTACCAACTGGTTCCAAATTTTCTCTCTCTTGCTATGTGTATGTGTATTACTCTTTTAAGGACTAATTAACATACTGCTATAATTCCTTTTTATTATTTAGGTGTTTTTTTAAAAAAGTCATGAAATATATTCATATTTTAAGTGCATTCATATATGAAGACATTTTTATATATAATTATAATGAAATACAGATAAAGACAAAGAATAGTCACCTACAAAATCTGTAAATAACTCAAAATTAGCCATTGTATTAAATCAACTAACTAGTCCAATCTATACAAAATACATCACTTATACCAATCATTTCACTACACAGCTGTTTGATTAAATTGAATAGAAATTCACATGACAGAGTAGCAAATATGATGTTATTTTTTATATGGCAAATACGATGCTATTTTTATTATATGTGTGTGTTTTATAATACAGTGAATATGGCAGAAGTATTAGATAAATAGTTAATATCAAACATTTCTAACTTGCAAGGAACTTAAATCTCTTTCTCAAATTGACTTAACACATAACTAAGTTTATTAGAGCTTATAAAAATTTATTATATTTCATCTTGAACCCCATTTGGGAAAAAAGACAGAAGTTCTCTTCAAATTATGTCACAAAGCGACTGCAGTTATAGAAGCACAATCAATATTGATTAATAACGATGAAAAGGGTGGCTGCCTTGAACCTGGCACAATTCTCTCCTCAGGGACTCTTGGGGCTGCCTGGGGATGAGCAGTTCTGTGCTGGTAACACAAACCACTCCACTCAATTGTGATCTTTGACAAAATAGAGTTCGCTCAGTAGGGTTTGGCTCATTTCCTTTGGGAAATCATCCCAGTAAAATCCTTAGATAGTGCTCAATTTTTTGACTTATAAGTTCATAAAACTAACACTTTTCAAACCTCCTCATAACTAGGAACAACTATACACACACACTCACACACCTACATGACTTAGGCATCATTGGTATATGTGTGACATAACTATTCCAAACAAAGGCAAAATTTAGGTCTTGACCAGAAATCTGAACAGAACTCATCTCTTACATTAAATACTGATTCAATAGATATGAATGCAATTGATCCATCAGTATTATATACAAGTCTTCATGGTACATTTAGGAAAAGGTAGGCTATCTTAAGTATAATTTTGGAAGGAGCAGAAGACAAAGTTGATTGAAATTATTAAAAGTTCTTTTGGGTCCATTTTTTTTTTTTTAGTGTGAGCTATGTTAATATCATGTGTGTACCACGACTTGCACTTAGGACTGACTATAATTTAACTGAAATTAGTTCTTTAAAAAATAAAAAAAAGTTTTCCTGTGTTCTGATTTTAAAAAGCAACCTCTTTTACTTTTATTCTAACTTTCTCTTTTTCTTTCCTGTTTCCCTTCTGAAGGTAAAGTTGTTTAACAGTCTTCTTTCCTACCTATCCTTAGGTGTCTGACACGCTACAAAGCCCCTGAAGCACACTTTTCTGCTGATGAAATGTCTCCAGGCCCTGCTTCAGACTTTCCTGCTCCCATCCTGTGCTGGGAAACAATTACCCAGGGGCCTCTTGTGTTTCTGCATGTCTTGTGAGCAGAGGCACTGACAGCTTTTGTTCCCAGCTGTCTTTTCAAAAATGTGTGTAATAGCGAACAGTCTCCAAAGACAGAAGTAGCTCTCCTTATGGAGCAAAGGGCAGGTTTGTTTACAGTCCAGTATAATAAAGATAATTGCTCCCTCTGTGGTAAAGGGCAGGTTTGCTTGCTGCCATTATAAAAAAAACACACACAAAAAACAAAACACACACCAAGTTTCCTAAGCTCAGGCAACCTCAGCTATGACATAAACTGGGCATGTAGGTGTCACCCAGCCCTCATTGTATCACCGTGAGTGGTGCCTAGGGGACTGCTGCAAGATGACAATACTCTGCCTATTGCTGTTGCTATGAGTAATAAACTGCCCTTTCTGTCTCCTGCCAATGTACATGAAACTGTGGCAGGTCCTTCACTGTTCTCAGCATCTTGTGTCCCAAGTTTCTGTCCTGTTTCATATAAGGACTAGAGGCCTGGTGCACAAAATTTGTGCAGGGGTGTGTGTGCATGTGTGTGTCCTTCAGCCCAGCCTGCACCCTCTCCAATCTGGGACTCCTCGAGGAATGTCCAACTGCTGATCGGGCCTAAATGGGCAGTCAGACATCCTTCTCACAATCCAGGACTGCTGGCTCCTAAATGCACGCCTGTCTGCCTGCCAGATTGCTCCTAACTGCTTCTGTCTGCCAGCCTGATCACCTCCTAACTGCCCTCCCCTGCTGGCCTGGTCGCCCTTAACTGTCCTCCCCTGCTGGCCTGGTGACCCCCAACTGTCCCCCCCTGCTGGTCTGGTCGCCCCCAACTTCCCTCCCCTGCCGGCCATCTTTGACCACATGGGGTGGCCATCTTGTATGTTGGAGTGATGGTGAATTTGCATATTACCTCTTTATTATATAGGATTCTCTTCTCCACGCAGATCCTGTATATGATGACTCATTGGTTGGTCAGTCATCTCTAAATCTTTCAATTTAGTTTCTCTCAAATTTCTGCCTCCTTAGTATAAGGTCTCCCCATATGTGGAAAACACAGAATCAAATTAAATAATAAGTGACAATGAGCTAAAGTCAGTGAGATAAAAAGGATGAGAAAGAAAGTGTAAGTACAAAGGGAAATCTGGATTTTCCATGGAGGATGGGCCATAAGAATCCTTACAGCAGCTGGATTTTCGATGCCATCCCCACTGGAGACATCCCTCCTGGGTCTGGGGTTTTGGAGTGGGATGCCTTGCTGGGCTAGGTGCCTTGCTAATTTAACAGTTTACTCCACCTGTTCACTTCTTTGTACTCAATGTTAAATATATTACTTCCATAGCAGTTCTATTTCTTACCTTCCTTCCTACCACTTCAATAATAAAATCAGTAGACTAATACTCAGGTAAATATGGTTAGTAGTCATGATTTTTACCTCTACTTTTAGAGAGTTCAGGAGGGATGAGCAATAGCCCTCTGCAACTGGAGTCATGAGACTCAATGGCTACTTATTACAAATGCAGATCTGCAGGCCGTGTATGCCAAGGATTTTGATTCAGTAGGGTTGATGTGGAAAAACATAAATTTTCCATTTTTAATGAGCTTATTGGATAAATCTAAAGTTTGTCTGCAGGACATATATGAAAAATTCTTCACCTTTGCTCAGTCTCATGGAGATAGTTCAACCCCAAATGCATAGATTAGTCACTGAAAAATCTTACTTTATGGCAGTGATTTGACCTGGCAGATGCTCTACTGCCAGGGGTATTTAGATAATTATTTTTGGCCCATGAAATGGAAAGATATATGTTAATATGAAAAAACTGCTTTGTTCTAAAATTTTGGCATATATTTGGAAATTTTTTTTCTGATCTATGGTACAATACTGTATTAATTATTAACATAGCCATCAATAGGAAGATGTATAAATAGAATGAAAAAATTGAAAGCTATAACTTGTACTCACTTGGCAAAATACTAGTACCCCCAAAGTACTTTATTTGAATAGGTTAAATGATGCAAAATTTTTTGAGGAAAATACTAAGGGGGTATTTTTAAGTCAAGACTATTGCATCAGATAGTGAGATCATGTGATACTTGTCTTTCTCTGACTGTCTTATTTCACTTAGCATAATACTCTCCAGGTCCCTCCATGCTGTCTGAGGAGCAAAACAGACCCAAAGACATGAAAGCTTGGAATAGATGGACTAATCTCAGAGGAAAGAGGGGCAAGGTGGGAAGAGATTAATCAAAGAGCTTATATGCATACTAGAGGCCTGTTGCATGAAGAGATTCATGTAATAGGCCTTCCCTTCCCCTCGCTGCTGGTACTAGTTTTCCTCAGGCATCCAGGACCCACGCCTTCGCTCCGGCCAGAGCCTTCAGTCTTCGCTCTGCCACTTTGTGCCTATGTATGCAAATTAACCGCCATCTTTGCTGGGTTAATTTGCATACTCTCCTGATTGGCTGGTGAGCATAGGGACTGTCAATTTACATGTTTGTCTATTATTAGGTAAGATATATATAACCCATGGACACAGACAATTGTGCTGTTGAAGGTCAGGGTGTGGTAGTGTGGGGTGGAGAGGTCAATGGGGGAAGAAAAAGGAACATCTGTAATCCTTTCAACAATAAAGATAAATTTTAAAAAACTATTTCAGTTGTGGCTGTTGAAATCATAAGGTATACAATAGGGTGTTAATGAAAAATATTTTACATCAATAGTTTGAGATGCATTTAAAGAAAGGGCGTGGCCATTGACATTGATAGTTCTGCAGATATCTCTCACTACACCAACTTCCTAATAATGATGTTTATGAGAAAATTTATTTTTCTCCATGTTTTTTAAATTAAATAATCTAAGTAATAGGAGCAGCACAATAACTGCGTTCTTTGTTGAGTACTGACAAGCACACTTCATTTCCATCAGGTTTGATTAGGAGTCTCACAGTTACATTAAGTCAAAACAAGCTACAGATGAAAGCTACAAGAATGACAAAAACACCATGTGTCTGCAGTGCTTTAGAGGTAGGGATACCACCGTTTAGAATGGCAGGGTCTTGGGGGATATAGGAAATATATCCATCTGCACATTCAACTGAATGATGATGGGATTATTGGGGATAATTGATGAAACATAAAACAATTTGACCAATATTTTAACATATATGCATTTTTCACATCGTTAGGTGGTCTTTATCAATAGACTATTAAAAACGGCAACGTGAATTTCAGACAGCATTTTTCCTCTGAGGTTGTTTGGATAAAAGTTGATGGGACTTACAGTTTACGACAATTTTTACTTTCTTCACATCCGGGAATGACACATCGTTTTCTGCACTGCATTCATATTCTCCAGCCTGGTCCCTGGTGATTCCATAAATGTCCAAATACTGTCCGTTTTCAAATGGTTTGGCTACAAAAAGAAAAATTAGAGCATGTTTAATTGTAGCCACCTGAGGCCTCATTCAAGTAAAACAACAAACTTGGGTCTTCCTATTAGATCTTGGTGACAAAACAATTTCAAAGGAAACTGGGGAATTATTAAAACCTTTGTTCTCCTGTGTTCAAAGGAAACGTCAGAGAAAAAAAAAAAAAGCAAAAACCGAACAAGGGGTACTATGACAATACTGTTTCCCCCGAATAGGATATACATGTGTTCTTTTTAATTGATTGTGGTCTCCTAACCTTGTCACGCATCAAATAGTGCTTGGCACATTTCTGTAATTGAGTTCAACAACCTCCTAGCCGTGCAGATGAAGTTCGCTAATATCACTTGGTTCATATTGACTTTTATACACTGTATGCTAGCAACCTGACACTTAACCTAACTAAATGTTACTTTCCTTTTGGGGAAATCTCATTCTCAGTGTTTCAAGCCAGATGGCTTGAAAATAGTAGAGAGATATAATAAATCATTACCATGTTTCAGTTTCCAAAATTATTAAATTTTTTTCAAGAGAGGTACATCTAATATACTATATATGACTCATACAATAAACCTCAAAAAAATCTTTATGGCTCTCAAACGAAAAGTTATAGTGGTCATTAAAAGCACACTAAATTATCTCTATTTTTAATATTTCAGGGGCAACATCCTATTTGACTAAAAACTGCAGCAGATTAAAAATATAAAGACATAATCACAGGTGAAAGAATATCCCCAATGAGTTAGATTGAAAAAAAAGAACGATGCCTTCTGAAATAATGGAATTTTTATTTATTTGAAAGCAGAGAAACATGGGGCGGGAAAGGCTGTGATTATCATGGCAAACGAAATGTGAATTTCAAGAGATTGCGACCCTTCTCCCTTCTTGGACAAGTCTTTTAAAATCACATTTCAAGGCATACCAAAGAACACTGGAAAATAAAACAATGATTCCATTAAATGGTCTGTTTCCAAAATCATCCTTAGTTTTGTTTTCATCTTACTTTGTCACCAAAGCTATTCTAATAATGTATGTTATACAACCAGTAAGAATATTGAATTTTATGTGAATGAAGCAAAATAAAATTTAGTTATGCTGCTCCAAATCTAAAATCCATGTCAACTAAAAACAACAACACTTTTATTTTTTTCCTGTGGGCTCTGTTTCCTGGCCCTAAATCAGTTGCTGCTCTGTCTGCCTTCTAGGTTACTAAGACTTTGTTAGTTGCAACCTGGAGTGCTTAGGATGTATACTATTAAGGCATTACTTCTTTTTTTTTTCTGGTTAATCATGAAGTGTAGACAGAGGAGTGTTATACTTGGATGGTGATTGGCTGGTAAGCTATTTCAGGTATAAGAAAACTTACAAAAGCACAAGTTGTCTTCAAAGTCCATATACTTAAAATCTGATTCTATAATCACTTTGTTGGTTCCACCCAGTGTCCTTACCTGACTCCAATATACAAATAAAACATTGATTGGTTTTCTATTGTTCCCGTCCTCTTCTCTTATTTTCACTCTTATTAATGAAAACAATCTAAGCTTATATGTATCTGTAAAATCTACTAAAATATAGGGAGGGCAGAATCCTTAATCACATCCTAGAATTTTTAAAGTATAACTTGAATTAATGCAAGAACAATATTAAATGGAAATTAAACTATGGAAGAACGGATATACTGTATCAGAATTAACCTGGATAGCAATGAAAAATGAAGCCAATCACATTAAAGGTATCCTACTGTGAAACATTGTAAAAACAAATTTATTAAGGCCTAACTTATTTTCAGCATTAAAATGTTACTTGAATATTTCTATTTTTGTGTACTGAGATAATTTTAAAAAAGTGTATCCTCCAAAATGAATTTTTTGATAAAAAATATACATAATACCCGTTTGAATAATCAACTATTTTCTATTTCTTAAATAAATAATTAATTATGGTGTGTGAGTTTCTGTATTACTGCCTTTTGCTGTTTAAACATTGTAGATATATGAACAATTGTTCTTAAAGGATTGAAGGATAAAAAGAAACACATTAGAAAGGTATGTCTACCAGGAAAAAATAAAAAAGGCTCTGAAAGATTAAAAGCAACTATAATAAGCTGTATAACAAAGATATCTCCAGTGTCAGAACCACTACATCAGTCAACTCCAAAGAACACCATTTATAACTAGTGAGTGTTTATCTCTGGAGCTCACTACACAATCTACTTAACCCTATTTCGGGATCCTTCTCAACTCGACCAAAGAACAATGTCCCTATTTACAACTACCAGAATTAGCAGTAAGTGTGTATGCATTTCTTAATTCGATACCTATAGAACCCGTGAATGAATGGTATTGCCAACACTAACCATCGGTAATATAGCACTAATATAAAGACACTTATGGGGCAGGGGGGAGGCGGGGGGGCGGAAAGCATGACTTCGTGGTTAACTTATTTTTCCCACTTACATTCAACATACTATGCATCAGCTCTTCCTGTATGTGTGCTCTAAGTATTCTCTTGTGTTTACACAAGTAGCTCTGTTTCTATTCTGAACTCTTCCTTGCTCTCTTCTCAGTCTGATCTCACCAGGCATAAATTTCAGGTTTGAAACTTGGAGTAGCCCATCAGGATTCAAACTCTGAAGCTTCCTAGTTGTCTGTACTTGGCTTGGCTGCCTCTGGTTTTTGTTGTCCTATTTTCCCCAATAGTAAGTTTTCACCTTAGTTGTGGAGCCCAGGAAACCAATCCTCTTTTATACTTGGCTGGGTTGCCTCTTTTTCCATCACTCCTGACACAAGGGGAGAGGATTTGAGCATAGTACATGAAAATGCAAAGAACATTTCAGTCTATGCAATGTAGCCCAACTACTTTCCCCAAAGGGAGGGTAAAGAGCAAGGCTGAGTGACATAGGGAGCTAGAGACATGAGGTCCATCACCAACACCAAGCCTTTACAGTGTTTATGAGGGTATTCACTACCTTCGGGTGCTCTTATAAATTTAGATGAAAAATAAAAACATTATGCAATATTTTCGTATCTTCTAGGATACCAGTATAAATAAATGTCAATGAAATACAGCAGCCCTCTCTGGTCACAGATTTTGCCAATCTCTGTGAGTGCAGTGACAGTTTCTGTTTTGTTCATCTCTGTGTCTTCAGCCCCAGGGGCATGCCTGAAACATGCTATTCTTGGTAAATATTTGAGTAAATAAATAAGGACACTTATAAAATGAATGAATAAAGCCCTGTAAAGATAAGAGCACAGAAAATCAAAACTAAGCACTTACAGTCAAAGAAGTTGTCACTTCTCTTTCTGAGTCCAGGAGAAGGAAAAGGATTTTACAAAGCATTGCCATCTTTGCTGACATCCTGAAGTGATAGGTGATGGCCGTGGTGAGAACAGACTACAGTGTTCATAGATCCTTTGCAAAATCATAAAGACTAACAAAAACTTTCAATACGATTTGAAGAAAAGGGGATAAGTACTACCTATACTCTCAACAATAGTTCTCTTTTGTGTGTAGTCTCTTCCAGACATAGGTAGACTTGTCTCAAAAAATGAAGAACTGAAAAGATTCCCCATGCTTTTAATAATGCCACTATTATCACCATTTTCAAAAGGAAAGCTGAAAAATAGGATGTAGCTATTATGTTTTATAAAATCTCTCTCGTCAGATTTATAAGAACCTGGCTAGAAATATTGCTATGGTGGCCACAAAAAGGGTATTAAGACTTAGCTTCAAGGTTTGATAAGTCATATGAACCATACCTTATATTGCATATAAAAATTGCTAGCAACAGCATCAAATTTCTACAAAGTGCTAATAAGTTTCAGAAAAAAATAAACATTTGACAAAATAAATCTTGCTTTTAATTTCTAGGACATCATCTTTCATGAGTTTTCCTCTCATCTTTCTGATCATTTGCTTTCACTTTTTCAAGAGAAATCCTTTACTGTTTCACATCCCTTAAATATTGATTTAGTCCTGACTTTTTTCCCCCCTCACTGAGGACAACATTTACAGGGGATCTTGTTCATTCATTTGCATTTAATTACTATTTATGTATTGATAAACCCTTGATTGATCTACTTAGTCTATAACTCTATCTCGAAACTTAAATACATTTAACCGGACATCTCCATTTGGATGACTCACCGACATCTCACAGTCGACACACTCAACACAGCCTGCCCTTCCCTGCCATCCCTGCAGCCCCTCCTGTGCTCCAAGACTGTGAGTGCTTTGACCATCACCCAGTTGCTCAAGCCAGAAACCTCATTATTAACTTTGACAATACATTTTATCTCAGTGCCCACAACCATCAGTCACTGTGTCCTGTAAATTTTGCCTCCTAAGTAATTCTCAAACCACTTCTAGAAGCCCCGTGTCTCAGTTACTGGTCTCTGAATGCATATATTCAGGTCAATGATTGTATATTGATTTGCAGAGTTATTTCAATCGTTTTCCAAAACCCTCGCTCAGAAGGAGTCATCCACTTTTCAAGGTTTTACTGCAGGAGTATATTTTGTTAGGGTCTCATAGCCATTTATTACTGAATGGTCACCTGCAAGTGAATTCTCAAAATATTCTTCGAAGGGTTTATTTACATGTATGATTGTTATTTTCTGTCAGTTTATAATCCACCAGCATATTTGGTATCCTGCAAGTATTTCTTCTACGGACTGTACCATACTGAGAAGTTAGGGATGTGGGTTCTAGAACTGTCTATCTGGCTTCAAATCCCAGCTCTGCCATTTATAGATATATTTTACAAGAAATTTAATGGTTAGTTTATTCATCTGAGATGTGTGAGGATAACAGAACCTGCCTCATATAGATGTTGTGAGGATTAATTGGGTTAATGGAATTAAAGCACTTAGAACTCATCATAGGAATTAAAAAATGCATTAGCTGTTATTACAATGCACAGGTTTAGGCATGCCAGGAAGGTCAATTTAGATAAATATTGTTTCCATGGTGAGAAGTCACTATATTC